TTTTTGGACCAATTTTGTGTTCTCCATTCTTTGAGCACCGTTTGAGCACCGGCATCGTTTCAAAAGTACCGATTTGGCACCGGTATCGGATAAAACCTAAACGATACCCATCCCTATTTGTGGTGTAAAAACTTTAGCACACTATACAAATGTAAACACATTTCGATGTCAACTGCTCCCTATTGGCCAGGTGAGTATTACACAACTCGACAGCAGACAGCATGTGCCAAAACAAGGCAGGAGCTTACAGAAGGAGCGGACATTATCAGAAGAAGAGAAGAGGTTGATTTTATTTGATTGTAAAATTGCTTAGAATCTGAAATGTGTGTTAAATTATCTGTAGCGTTTAACATTTACCACTGTGTGCCCTTTTCTGCTTACAATTATTAGAATATCCGTTTCCTTCTTGACGGTGTACCTCTTGAAAAAGATTTTTAATCTCAGTGGAACTTAGCAGAATTAAGGATATAATATAAACGTTTTAAAGTTTCTATTATCATTTTGATGTATCAGTTTACCCATAATGAAATCAACAAATGTCTATGTGATGGATGTATGCTGGAAAAGAGTGAAAAACTGGATTCATTATCATACCACCTTTGGCAGAAACCCCCTCTGATTCATAAGATGAGTGGTTAGGGTGAAGTCATGACCACAGATATGGAAAACAATAAGAAGAGCAGTGTGAATGAGCTGATAACACATGTTTTGATGTAAGAACAAAAATGTATCTTCCCTCATTATGCAAGTGAACAGATTAAAGACATCAGATGTGAGATGGCTGAACTGTCGAGGCGCAAATTTGTAGCTAACAGTTGTTTAACTCCTACTAGTAATGTCGTCCCAGAGGCAAGTACATAAATTATGTTGTTAATAAGACTTTCAGCTTAGAAAATCCCACTGAGTCTCTACCTTGCTGCTGAACAGCTGGTGTGGCTAAGTCAACCTTGGACTGCTCTACAGGCTTGGAGGGTTGGGATGGAGAAGCTGCAGGTTGCTGTTGCTGCTGTTGTGGTTGTGGTTGTTGCTGTTGCTGTGTGGATGGGGTCTGACATGTCTCTCTGACTACCAGTGAGGTCGGCTTATCTTTACTGTCCTGAAGTAGTCGGGAGGCCTGGAAAGTGCAGTAGAAACAAACAAAAAGTGTGAGAAGAAGACATCTGAGATAAAACAACAAACATCAGGGACTGAAAAATTGAAATCCATCAGCTTTGGAAAACATTATATGAGGGGGAAAATATAATACTGTGAAGATTCCTGTGTTTTTTGGGTTTTTTCCCTTTGTGTCTCTTAGAGAAGAAATGAAGACTGTGGAACTGCTGTAAAAGTAGTTTTTGTTTAGCTGGTTGCCACTGTCAAAATACCAAATTGCAGAACGTGTACCAGAACTCAAAATACTTTAAACACATTCATTACGCAATTTTGAAAAGGATAGCATTACTCTGAGAGAGATATTTTCCTGTGGTTTTATATCTACAGGTAGGACACAGGTGAAAAGTTCACTTTGGAGAATTGACTTCTTGAATTGACATTTTTCATATTAGAAAATAAAGTCTCAAAAATTTGAACGCAAATAGCTTTGCACATCTAATGTTGATTTTACTTAAAACAGATGGGTTACATTCATTTCAAGGACATATTTTCACTCCTCAAAATAATCCTCATTTACATT